AAAAAAAAAAAAAAAAAAAAAAGGTAATTGATTCAGTTCTTTAACAATTACCCAGAATCACTGCGGCTTCTCTCGTTGCATGACAATAAATATTTACGTTACTTTAAGGGTCATCATGACAGGTATGGTTCTTGACTCGATATTTGTTCTGGCACAGTTCATAACTATCGTCATTATTTATTCCCACGTGAAAAACCGTATTATTTTTCAAAATACTGCTTGAACTTGACAGTTAACTATTTGTACTTTAGGGTTGTTTCCCTTAGCTTGTGCTCTAGGAAAGAATATTTGATCTCTGGATCTCTTGATCGGGCTGTTTTGCTTTGGGACCAAAGAGCAGATAAATGTCAGGTGGAGGCCATGGCCATATTATCCTTGGTTTTTTAATTTTGTTTTTTCTCCAAACATTAGTTAACAGTGTATTCTCTGCACTTAGGGTCTTCTACGTGTCCAAGGTAGACCAGCTGCAGCTTATGACGATCAGGGGCTTGTTTTTGCCATTGCTTTCGGAGGATACGTACGAATATTTGATGCTCGCAAGTATGAAAACGTCAATATTTCATATATAAATATGCATTAATGCTAGTGGCCATTTAAGTCATCAATGTCTTTTGAGTAGACGCTGATCTATCAAAGTTGTAGGGCCCATTTGATATATTTTCTGTTGGGGGAGATATGTCAGATGCAAATGTTTTGAAGTTCAGTAATGATGGAAGACTTAGGGCAACTTCAACCATTGCACCAAATTGCACCAAAATTTGGTGCAAACTTCCTCCAACCATTGCACCATTGCACCAAATTGCACCAAAATTTGGTGCAAACTTCCTCCAACCATTGCACCATTGCACCAAATTTTGGTGCAAAAAATGGTGTAATAAATGGTGCAATATATTTTCTGTTGGGGGAGATATGTCAGATGCAAATGTTTAGAAGTTCAGTAATGATGGAAGACTTAGGGCAACTCCAACCATTGCACCAAATTACTTAGGGCAACTCCAACCATTGCACCAAAATTTGGTGCAAACTTCCTCCAACCATTGCACCATTGCACCAAATTTTGGTGCAAAAAATGGTGTAATAAATAGTATTGCACCAAATATGGTGCAACACTATTCATGTTGCACCATTTTGCACCAAATGGTGCAATGTCCATTTTACCCTTATTTTTCTTTTTTCAAAGATAATGGTTAAGGACATTTGTGTCATTTTCATTCTATAATAATAATGATAATGATAATGATGATAATAATAATAATTACTTAATTAATTACACTATTAATTATATTATTAAAGTTTATTATTTTTAATAATATAATCAATAATAATTAACGTAATTGTTAATTTAACGTAAAGTTAAATTCGTAAAGTTTACGTTTAAAATTAAATTTAATGTAAAGTTTATATTATTAAAGTTTATTATTTTTGTAAATTTAACATAATTGTTTATCATAAATTAATAATATAATCAATTATTTTTGTCAATTTAACATAATATATATGACATGTGATAATATAGTAATCAATATATTTTTGAATTTAATGAAGTTATGATTTAGTAATATATATAGTTATAAAATAAATAAATAAATAAATAAATAATATTTTAAAATAAATATATTGTCAAAAATCGAAAGAATGAATAAAATAATAAATCACTGTTCATTTGGTGTAAATTTTGGTGTAATGGTTGGAGAAGAATTTTGGTTTGGTGCAAAATTTAATGCAAATTTTGGTGCAAAATGATGCAAAATTTGGTGCTGGGTTGGAGATGGCCTTATGCTTTTGACTACACCAGATGGGCATATTCACGTTCTTGATTCCTTTATGTAAGTATTATGTCCTAAGTTTAATCAACTTTGAATATAAATACTTTTATATGTGATTAATGCAATTAAATGACAGATCTATTATTTAATTAATAGATAATTTAATAAATAATAAAGTCCGTAGATTCAAATCTTTGTAATTTGTTAATCACAAGGAATTGTGATTGTGAGATACAAATTGCATCTCATTGAATCTTAAATCATCCGTGGTCGTAAATAATAACGAGATACGGTTATCGTTATTACGGATAGACCATCACGTGTGGCATTTCTTACTTGTGAAGTAAGTAGCTGATCTCACAAGCTAAAGTGTGGTGACACTTAAGTGAACACGTGGATGTTTTGTTATAAAACAAAACATTGAAGACCCGTCGAGAGATTCCACATGGATAGCTATCTGAGTGTCAGTGGTTAATCTCTAACGTTCGGTAGTGAAATTGGTCTTTTGACTTGAGGTCGTCATGGTACCTTATATGAGGGTAGTCATACTTTGGCGATGTTGGATGTTGCTCTGAAAAGGCCGCTAATACGACATCGTTCAGGTACGTCAAGAATCGTGTGAAGATTGTGATTGATCAATAAAGGATTCGTCACTCTTAGATAGTAGGAGATTATGATCTGCGTTTCATTTAATTAAGTCAATGATGAAATCCTTGGCCAAGGTGTACTCATAAGTCGAAAAGGAGTTTTCGATTTATATTGACTTAATAGTGGAGTGAAAGATATGATCGATGATCGAGATTGACACAACTCCATATCTCGTAATTGATCGGATCATATTGACGAAGGGATTATAGTTTCACGGTAAACGAACGAATTTGGTTTTGTCATACCACGTGACATTTCCCGTCACATGTATTGCCCTGACACATTGCTAGATGTCAATCATGGACGGCGAATGTGAATTGACGATAAATTAAAAGGGTGTTTTAATTTATCAATTTTGATTAGATCAAAATAATATTTCAAGTCGTTAGGCACCGTGGTCGGGAACCTAATGGGTCAGACACAAAAGAGAATTGGAAGATTGGAAATTGCCAATTGGTTAATTTAACAATCGTTGGATAAATTAATTAATTGGATTTGTTATTTATATTTTCGAATTAATTAATTGGATTAATTAATTCACGGACCGCATTTAATTAATTGGATTAATTAATTATTGGATCGGATCGGGCCGAGCCGAGCCTATTTGAGTTTATATAAATACATAACTAGGGTTTGAGGTCCATATGATTTTTATTATTCTTGCTGGTACAAGAGAAAACCCTAGAAGCTGCAATCTTATTTTCTGTGTGGATTACCGTTGGAGGCTGGACAATTGGACAGCTATGGTGGCGAATCAAGGTTGATGGAACGAAATCTCTGTCTAAACACAAAGGCGATTCTTGGTGGGAATCGAAAATTATTTTAAATTCCGCTGTGCATGTATAAATAGATTCCCAACAGTGGTATTAGAGCCTACTTTGTGTTTGTTAGGAATTGATTTGCATGATTGAATAATCAAATGTTGATTGTACATATTTTTCTTGTTTTCTAGCAATTTGAAAATTGGATTTTCGGATTTAAAAAAAATGAAAAAAAAGGGGAGGGTGCCGGCAGCAACAGTTGTTGTCGGCGTTGGCACGGCAGATGCCGCCACTGGTAGCGGCGTCTACCGCATCAAAGGCGGCAGCAGACGCCGCTGCCAGGCAGTCGCGTCTGCCGCTGGCTTCGCGCTGCTGGGCGGTAAACGCTCGACGCTTTGGGAGGCGGGCTGCCGGCCTATTTGGGCGGCGCCGGCCAAGAGAAACAAAAAATATATATATATAAAGTTGGGATTTTAGGGTTTATGAAATCGGGTAAGAGGTTGGTGGAGACGGGGGTCTTCTCTGCAATTAATGTAATTGTGGGGGCCCGGCTGCAATATGATGTTGGGGGTCCATTTGTTAAAATTTTAAAATAATGGTTATTTTGCAAAAGGTTGATATTGAGGACCCTTGCTTGCAATTCCACTATCGGGGTCATTTCTGTAAATAACAAAAGGGGCCCTTTTATAATTTAAAGAAATTGGAGGTCCTGTTTATAATTTTTGAAATTTGGAGCCTCTGATTGTAATTTTAATCTTGGGTAAATGTGCAAATTTCAAAATGGATTTGATTTTGAATTTTAAAATGGTTTTAAAATTATATTCTAAATGGGTTTGACCCATAATTTAATTTTGACCCAAATTAAAATTTTATTTAAAATTGACGACATTTTATATTTTCGTTAAAATTGGATTTTGACTTAAATATTAAACTTTGACTCCAATTGAATTTTATTTTATTTAGGAGTGTTATCCTAATTTAAAATATTGATTCAATTTAAATTAGAGTTGGACTCCAATTTTAGGACCTAGTTAAAATTCGTTTTAATTAAATTTTCACCCGAAGATATTTTAGAAATTAGAATTGGATTCTAATTTGATATTTAATTAAAATTTGATTTTAATTAAATTGTTTCGCCCTAAACTTTTCTTTAAATTAGAGTTAGACTATAATTTGATGTTTAATTAAAATTTGATTTTGATTAAACATGTTCGTCCTAAAATCCTAGATTTAGAGTTGGACTCTAATTTTACCATTTAATTAAAATTTGATTTTAATTAAATTCATTCGCCCTTAAATATTGGAATTAGAGTTAGACTCCAGTTTTGTCATTTAATTAAAATTTGATTTTAATTAAATTCAACCGCCTTACATTTTGAAATTAGAGTTTGACTCTAATTTGATATTTAATTAAGATTTCATTTTAATTAAATAATCCTGCCATATAATTGTTGAATTAGAGTTGGACTTTAATTTGTTATTTAATTAAAATTTGACTTTAATTAAATATTCCCGCTAATTAAATAATCGATTAATATGATTAATTAATTATTTAATTAATCTGATCCATTTGTCTAAACTTGAAACTTATTTGCATATAATATTAGATATTATATAGGTATACATTTATGTGATGAATGTATTATTAGTGGACGATTATGGACTCGACCATATGGATGTGTTGAATGGTTAATTTTTAATTTTGTCGTTTTTATGGGCCTGCGAGCTCTTAATTGTTTTGGGCCTGCGAGCTTATTATTATTGTTATTATTTTGGACCTGCGAGTCCATTATTATTATTGTTACTATGGGCCTGCGAGTCCAATTTCATTTAGGCCTGTGTGCCAACTAGTATAGGATACATGTTGAAATTGGACTAATTGAAGAGATAAGAAGAGGTGCAGATCATGGAGATGGTGCATTGACACTGTTCAGTGCTATACCCTCTAGGAATTGACCAACTAGTCTTCCTTATGGCTCGGGAAGACTAGATAGTAAAAGTCGATTATCGTCCACACTATTATATATATATATATATATATATTTGCATAGTAGATGTATAATAATAATATATATATATGATTTTATTGTTGTTGATGAGACTGATGAATGCAAAATCCCTCCATAAAATATTAAGTCACATTTGTAATCGCCTTTCATCATTATAGTGAAAAATCAGAGTCTCAAATCGTCTCAACTTGTTGAGTACACTCAAGGCTGGTCCATTAGGGATATGTTTGACACTATGAAATATTTGATATTTCTGAATGATAGGTTTGACTTAACTAAAATTTATCTTTTGTTGAGTACACTCAAGGAGATAAATTTTAGAGGCATGTTAAGCTAACACATAAGATGTGTGAAAACAAAGAGTTATCAGCTTAATGATCTGGGAGTTGTATGGAAATACAATTGATAATAGTATCTACCCAAATATTATATTATGGCTTGTTGAGTACACTCAAGGTCTTAATATAATAGATGAGATCCCAGTCCACTGGGAGTCAAGCATGGACTCCATAAATTTATGTGAGAGGGTCATAAATTTTATTTAAACAGTGGGAGCATAATTAATTTAATAAAAGACCATATTAAATTAATTGATGCATTTTATATATTATTCTTTCCTTTTTGTCATTTATATTTATTGAATCTGAGTAAACCATATGTTTTGAATGGCATACTAGATGCCAACAACCAAACTATATTTTCTTAATTGACACTGCAATTTGAGAATTGTTCTTATGCATGAGAAAATTGGTCACGTCCTTGAGTAGCCCTTTCCAGAGACACCTGGTGATGACTCGATTAAAGAAGAGGTGGCTTCTATAGTAAACGCAGTGATGATAATAGTACTGCAACGTATGTGATACTTGCAACTATGTCACTGAGTTACAAATGCTACTTGAGAGTATAGATGTTGACACATAATCCTTCATTACAAAGGGTTGTATGATAATAATCGTGTGTGGAAGGATATGAGACTTCCAAACAACTATACGGGTGCAAAATAACAGAGTAATCTTCAATCAATACTTAAACACTGAAGATGATTGACGTTGAGAAATGTCTCAATTGAGTTCAATTACAAACCATGAACTAAGTAGTGACTTAGTTCTGCAATCTCTGTCAGAGAAAGCTATTCATAACTAATTATGAATTTAACGTGAATAAGCTTGAATGCACAATTATTGAGTTGCTAATATGCTTAAGACTGTTAAGCCCAACATCGAAGTTAGTAGTGGGCAAGTCATTGATTCCTCTAAAATTATTAAGAGGAAGGGGTTTTGTGAAAGCGTCCAATATGGTCAAGACAGTGTAAGCAAAGGACAATACCAAATATAACGACCCTTGGTTTCATTATAGAATGAAAGGTCATTGGAAGGAATATTGTATGGCTTACGTCTACTCCACGAGTTTCTTAGGTATATGATACCAGGTGTAAATATCGTATTTATACAAATATGGAGAAACTAAAAAGAAGTAGACTACTGCGAAAGGGAGAAGTTGACATACACGTTGGAGATGAGCAAAGGTTGCTACATTACCTGTATGAATATACTTCTTACCATTGCCTTTTGGTTTAGTATTGAAATTAGAGAAATGTCGTTTTATGCCAACTATAGCTGGAACATTAAAATGAATTTCATGTTCGGACATGAACTATTTTAATGTTAAGAACAATTGTTGTTCTTGTTTATCTTGTTAAAGACCTTGATGGCTATGGTAAATTATAAAACGACATTTATATATTTTAATACTAAAGATTCTATAATAAGTATAGAAATTATAAGGCATAAATACTATAATATAATTATTACCAACATCTGGCATGACAGACTTTGTCATTTAGATGAAATATAATTCCAAAGTTACATAAAGATGTATACTTGGGATTAATTCATTTTGACAAGTACAAATTATGCATGTCTGGCACAATAACCAAATCTTCTTTTGCTTGAAAAGAAGAAAGTCAGCATAATTACTAGTCTAATGCATAGTGATGCATATGGATTCATGTCAATCAATGTCAGGTAATGTTTCTCTTATTTCATCAATGATCAAGTATACTTGATGAAAACTCAAACATGAAACTCTTGAAAAGTTCAAAGGATTCTCACTAGAATTAGAGAAACAAAGAGGTAAAGATACCTTCACATTAAGATTCGATCAAGTGAGAGTATCTTAAAGATAAAATTTAGATTATCTAAGAGAGAATGAGGTTCTCGTGCAGTGGACTCCTTCATATACACTGCAGCAAGGCGGTGTATTTAAAATGAGGAATCTTTAATTATTATATATAATGCGATTAATAACAAGCCATGCAAATTTCTCAAAATTGTTTTGAGGTCACGCATTGATTTCAGTGTGCAACACACTAAACCATGTCCCATCTAAATTGGTTAACAGAACTCCATACGAGTTATGGAAAGGCAATGTCCCAATTTATCTTATATGAAAGCTTGAGGGCCATAACGCTTATTTGAAGCGCCTTGAATCAAATATTTTTGACACTAAATCTGATAAATACGTATTTGTGGGGATATTCAAATGAGACATTTGAATATAAATTCTATTATCATGAAAAAAAGTCTTCGTCTCACAACATATCATCTTCTTAGAGAAAATGTTTACTCTTGAAGAAGACAGTGGGAGTAAAATAGAATTTGAAAGAGTTCAAAAGTCCACAGATATAATTAACAAATTAGATAAATCCGAGTTCGATCTCATATCTGATATGGGACATACTTTGGATCAGGAAGTAAAGACTCCTGAGGACATGACAGCTCTATGTGAATCTAGTAGGGTCATTCGACCTTCAAGAAGGTGCAAATCCATGATCATTAATCAGTGATCCAGGATAATGAACCTGCTAGTTGCAACAAAATAAAGTCAAGTGTTGACTTAAAAGAGACAGCAAGAGGCCATGAAACTCGAGATGAAACTCGACGCAAGTGAACAAGGTTTGGACCTTGGTCAAGCCTCCTAATGGAATAAAGCTCATAAGCTTTTGTAAATAGTTTACAAAAGAAAAGGTCGATATGGATATGAATATCCATATATACAAAACAATGCTAGAAGCAAAGGTTAAATGTTGACCTTGGTGAAATATTTCTCCTGTAGCCCTGTTTAAGTCCATTCGGGTTTTGTTTGCAACAGTTGCATATCGTTACTATAGGTTAAGAGAAGTCTCTTGTAGCTGAAATCTTAGATTTGATGAAAAGTCAAAGTGTTTGATTTTATCAAATTTGAAAACGAATTGTGTGATTACAAGAAGATAGTGGGAGCATTTTTCGTATTCCTAAAACGACATCCCTATGTTTCAATCGTTGAAATAATTGTTGTTAAAGGATTTATTCATAAACGATATGGGATAAGCAACTTGATCTATAGAGGTAGATCTAGAAGATTGCTTAACTCGTCCCTATTTACATAGATGAAATCTTGAGAAGATTTCATATGGAGAAACTGGTTTACTCTTAAGCGGTATGTTGGAAAGGTTCCAAACGTGAAGCAAACGTTGATTCAATAGTAGAAACCTAATACATGGATACTTCAGAAGTAGCAAAGAGTTGCAATACGGATCATGATGTTCATAAATGAACTTGGAGTGACTCCTGATATTGTTGATTACATACAATAGTATTGTGATAACAATAGAGCCATTGCGAAAGCAAAGGAACTAATGTCTCATCAATGATCCAAACATGTATTAAAGCGGCATAATCTCATCAGAGAGATAATACATAGAAATGATGCAAAGAGAAGAGCAAATTTCCACATTTAATAATATTGCAGATCCACTGACAAAGGGTTGTCGTAGTATAAACATGATCGTCATGTAGACTTATGATATTCGATACATAAGTGATTGGATCTAGTGCAAGTGGGATTTTGTAAGTATTATGCCCTAGGTCCAATCAACTTTGGACATAAATACTTTTATATGTAATTAATGCAATTAAATGACAGATCTATTATTTAATTAATAGATAATTTAATAAATAATAGAGTCCGTAGATTCAAATCTTTGTAATTTGTTAATCACAAGGAATTGTGATTGTGAGATACAAATTGCATCTGATTGAATCTTAAATCATCCGTGGTCGTAAGTAATAACGAGATACGGATATCGTTATTACGGATAGACCATCACGTGTGACATTTCTTACTTGTGAAGTAAGTAGCTGATCTCACAAGTTAAAGTGTGGTGACACTTAAATGAACACGTGGATGTTTGTTATAGAACAAAACATTGGAGACCCGTCGAGAGATTCCACATGGATAACTATCTGAGTGTCAGTGGTTAATCTCTAACGTTCGGTAGTGAAATTGGTCCTTTGACTTGAGGTCGTCATGGTACCTTATATGAGGATAGTCATAATTTGGCGGTGTTGGATGTTGCTCTGAAAAGGGCCGCTAATACGACATCGTTCGGGTACGTCAAGAATCGTGTGAAGGTTGTGATTGATCAATAAAGGATTCGTCACTCTTAGATAGTAGGAGATTATGATCTGCGTTTCATTCAATTAAGTCAATGATGAAATCCTTGGTCAAGGTGTACTCATAAGTCGAAAAGGAGTTTTCGATTTATATTGACTTAATAGTGGAGTGAAAGATATGATCGATGATCGAGATTGACACAACTCCATATCTCGTAATTGATCGGATCATATTGACGAAGGGATTATAGTTTCACGGTAAACGAACGAATTTGGTTTTGTCATACCACGTGACATTTCCCGTCACATGTATTGCCCTGACACATTGCTAGATGTCAATCAGGGACGGCGAATGTGAATTGACGATAAATTAAAAGGGTGTTTTAATTTATCAATTTTGATTAGATCAAAATAATATTTCAAGTCGTTAGGCACCGTGGTCGGGAACCTAATGGGTCAGACACAAAAGAGAATTGGAAGATTGGAAATTGCCAATTGGTTAATTTAACAATCGTTGGATAAATTAATTAATTGGATTTGTTATTTATATTTTCGAATTAATTAATTGGATTAATTAATTCACGGACCGCATTTAATTAATTGGATTAATTAATTATTGGACCGGATCGGGCCAAGCCTGTTTGAGTTTATATAAATACATAATTAGGGTTTGAGGTCCATATGATTTTTATTATTCTTGCTGGCACAAGAGAAAACCCTAGAAGCTGCAATCTTATTTTCTGTGTGGATTACCGTTGGAGGCTGGACAATTGGACAGCTGTGGTGGTGAATCAAGGTTGATGGAACGAAAAGAAAAGCTAAAAGATTGCAGATCTAGAAAAGGTACAATCTTGTCACAATCTCTGTTTAAACACAAAGGCGATTCTTGGTGGGAATCGAAAATTATTTTAAATTCCGCTGTGCATGTATAAATAGATTCCCAACACTTTCGTGGTACCCTTGTGCGTCGTTTTCCTTCCATTCATGTTAAAATCTGCTGTGGCTTTAATGAAAGTTTATTCCTTTCTGATTTGTGCTTCACTTCTGTTTTAGTTATCGACATATAATGTGAAGCCTGTTTCACGTAATTCAACTTTGGAGGCGTCTTTCGGCCCAGAGGGAACGTATGTTATATCAGGTAAGAAAAGTTTCCAATTGCTGTACAGAAGGAACCACGCACCTCTTATTTTGACTTCCTGTTGTTGGCTGTCTATATTTTTTTGTCCTCAATTTATCTCTGGATTCGCAAGTTCTCAGCAAATCATCATTCTTTCTAACATGCTGCTCTTGTAACTAGATAAGGCAATAGAAGGATGCCATTTATTTTTACTAAAATAACATGTAATTCGATCTGGTCAATTGTCGATGTAGTTACTTGATGATGGACAACGTTTCTCTTAAATAAGACGGATTATCGCTTTACATTTTTCTGACGATCTGATGGCATAAAAATTCTCTTGTTGGTTAGTGAAACTACTGTTGCTAGAAAGGAAAAGTTTTGAGGGGATGGGGGGAGGGAAGAAACAAATAAAAGGTAAGCACCTATACAGTCCAGATAAATGCACTTTTCCCTATTCTGCATATTTATTTATTTTGTAGTCCCTGTAACAATGTGGTTTCAAATTTTTAAGGAAAAATATTTAGTTTACATCTGAATTTCAAAATTGAGAATATCTTGATGAGCTTATACACAAATCAAGAAGTGGCTTTCTGGTCACATTCTGTGAAGAAATTTAAGTTTGTGGTAGTTTTGTACGCCTTTGGCCACATTAAGTACAAATGGTGGAGGATAAGTCCTGCCATAGTCACTGTATCATTGATTAAAACTGTAAAGGACCTAGTGTAAGAGACCATGAATTGATTTCATACGTGCCGAGTTGCAAATTTAAGAGCACTCGTAGGCAATCTAGGTTACATAGTTTAAATATCTAGTCATTTATGTTCTTAAGAAAAGAAAATGTTAAGTGGTACAAACCATGTTAATTTGCTTATATTTTACGTTGTGTTTTCCCCATTACAAAGTAGCTATTGAGAGTTAATAAATGGATTGAAGAGATTCCACCTCTTGGCGCTTTTATGAGATGCTGAGATTTATCTGGCAATCATTTCTCTCTCTCTCTCTCTCTTTTTGATCGAAAATCTTGTAATTTTATTAATCAAAAGATAATACACAAGATGTGCATTATCGATATAACCAAGATAGAAATAACATGAAATTAAACAGCCCTTCTATCCGATTAGTAGCCGCAGCATTAAACGAAGTATACAAAATCAGTTAAAACAATTCTCTAAACTGCTCTGTCGTCCGTGTTTGATTTTCAAAATAGCGGCCGTTCCTTTCTCTCCACACACACCATACAATGCATCCTGGAATAAGATCCCAAACAAGCCTGCTATTTTTATCTCCAAGCTTTCTCCTCCATGCCTGCACCACATCCTTTATATGCTTTGGCAACAACCATATCTAGCAATCGTCTCTAAAAGACACAAAACTTAATGTAAATGGAAAGAAAGAAAACAGCCCATTATTTTCTTAAGATAATGCCATTTGATGTATCAGCTACGTTACTTGTAGTCCTGTATCCATGTGATGGGCCTGCGGTTAACCCACTTGTCGTATGATTGATTATACTCTTACGCAAAATGGATACATAAATTTGAGAATAAATATCTTTAAAGGATTTTAAATTGACACTCCCGATAGAGTCCAAGCACGATCTTGTATCACTAATAATGTGGTGTTGTCCTCCCGTATTCCTCTGCACTACACATCAAATGATCAAAAGCCTTGAAGGAAAGAATTTTGTTTTGCCAAATTAAATTGCCTTTGTTGCCAGATTTAAATGTTTCTATCAATTTGTTCTTGTTTGTTAATTGTGAGTAAATGAATGCTTTGAATTTTCTTTCATCTGTGACTCCCACCCTTCTCCTTTGAAATTGACATTTTTTTGGTTCATGCTACTTGGCAGGTTCTGGTGATGGTAGTGTTTATGCTTGGAGTGTTCGGAGTGGAAAAGAAGTATGCAAATAGCAATTTATTTTTCTGCAAAATATTTGTTTTGTGATTCTTCATTGATCCTTGCGTTTAGCAATATCTACATGCTTTAGGTATTGAAAGCTTTAATCACATGAAGATTATGTGTAGTTCCTGGTGAAATGGAGTAGACAAATCCTATTTTTTGGTCTATCGCTTCAGGACAAGTCAGTAAATTTTTTTTTTAAAAATACATTAGTGATTGAACACCACTGGAAGACAGCTCTGCTCTTTGCGACAATTATAATGTTTCTTTGAAATTTTTTTTTAACTATGCAACTTTCGAACATTATGACGCTGGACCAAATGCTGAGATAAAAGAGCACACGTAGTTGACACCCCCAATTTCTTAGGAACAAGTTTTAGCGTACTGTGATAGTATTTGAATATAAAACAGAAGTAGTATGTGAATTATTAATGGTTCTGGGAAGTAGTAAACAATGGAAATTCTGTTCTGAAGAATGAGATTCAAGCACTATCTATCATTTTTCAACACACACCTAGAAAATATTAACAGCTCGAGCCCACAAAGCATCCTTATTTTTCATTGATATTCTATCACCTTTAAAATCTGCTTGTCCACCTTATATAGCCACTTTAAAATCTGCTTGTCCACCTCATATAGCCACTTAACCCTGTATGTTCCTTTCCAGTGCTAAGAAAATATGATCGTTGCAACGTATATTGCAGAGCCATTCTTTCTCAAGTGTGTCTGATTGTTTAAAATGATATGTTGATATATTTTGATGGTACATATTTTCTTAAATTTCTGGCATAAAATTTTCAAAACTAAGCCCTGTTTATGTTTTTGTTATTTTGCTTTGATGGGGTTTGACAGGTGGCAAGTTGGATGAGTTCACAAGCCGAACCACCTGTAATCAAATGGGCTCCAGGAAGCTTGATGTTTGTAACTGGTTCTTCGGAGTTATCATTTTGGATTCCAGACTTGTCCAAATTATCGGCTTATGTTGGAAGAAAGTAGAAACTGGAAATTTATTTGGTGTTCTTCTCTGGCATGCCCATCAAATTGGGTTCATGTTTCTCCGATGATTTATTTTGCTTGATTTTCTGGAGCACATTACCTGTGAGGCATTTGCCGCATTTCTGGTCTGTACCATTGATGCATTTTTCACACGGAAAAGAAGAATGGGGTTCGACACGCCCACTTGTTGAAGAAATGCACGCTGATGGGTATTATTCACATGAGGCATGTCCGAAGATGTAACGATATGTGATTGTTATCCTTTCCTGGTAGTTCAAGGTATTTTTATTTTATTTTCTTTATGGATGAAATCCATCTAGATCAAGGCATAAGTTTTTAAGCTTCAATGTGAGGTTTCCACTAAGATTTGATTAGTTATGATAAAATTTTGCAATTAAAATTCTTAGAATGATTACAGCATCAGAGTATATAATCCAAATCCAGAAGTTTAGAATAACATGGCGTCTAAAGAAAGACGACCATTAAAGCAATAAATTTCTCACACACCCTTCAAATGATTATGAAACAGGAGATTCAATTTCACCATTGCATACTTCTTCTTCTCCTTCAAGTTCATCATCACTGCCATACACGAATCGAGTATGTTTGCCAGTAAATTTTACCATTTTCCTGCATCCATTCATATTCATTTTGATAATTCCTTCACATAGCTCAACAAGCAATTCTTCGTCGTCATCTTCTTTGTCATCGACAAAATTGGAGTCATAATCGCATTCTTTTTCGACCTCTTCTTCTTCTTCTTTGCAGTTGTCTCTGGTACTGCTTGCATTAACCTGAACGGACCAAATCGATGCATCTTCATCATCAGTAGATAGCTTCGCTTCACCACTTTCAGTGTCTCCACTTTGGCATGTCAGCACGGATGAATCAGAGCCGTCTGATTTCTCAAAAAATTCCAATAGCAGAGACCTTGTAACCTCACACTTCTCAGACTCACTTGCATCTTGTTTCTCCCCATTTAAGATCTCACTTAACACCTGACTCTATAAAACAATATTTCAAGAAATATACGAACTTAATAAAAACCCAATAAATTAAAAATAATAATATTAAAGAATTAATAACTAATAAATAAAAGAAACCCTAAAAACCCAATAAATTAAAAATAATAATATTAAAGAATTAATAACTAATAAATAAAAGAAACCCTAAAAACCCAATAAATTAAAAATAATAATATTAAAGAATTAATAACTAATAAATAAAAGAAACCCTAAAAACCCAATAAATTAAAAATAATAATATTAAAGAATTAATAACTAATAAATAAAAGAAACCTGAGGGATCAAAAACTTTTCTTCAACAGGGGATGGTGTAACGGAAGGCAAGTAATTTCCACTATCACCAAGGTTCAAAATCTGGGGTGTATTTGCAGGAGTTGGTGCAAGAAAGCATAATGGAGAGTTGCCAAGGTTAAAGAAAGGCTTGTTTTCCAAAGTAATTTTCGAAAGCTCCGCCTCTTCTTCAACTTTCTGCAAAAGGGATTTCACTTGACCTCTCAATAGGGCCTCTCCCGAGCCCGGGGTACCGCCTGTGTTGTTGGCTCGACAGTTGATCCTCTTCTTGGACAATGTCGATGATGGGGTTTTCAAATTCCCCATTGCGAGCCCAACAATCGGGGAATCATTTGTTATATCCATAAAAGCTGATCGATCTTGCCCTTTTTTCTTGCTCATCTGCCTTGATTTCGTCACTGTCTTTTCAGATTCTTGAGAAATACCATGGAAAAAATAAGCAAATAAAGATTAAACCAAGAATATAATACTGCAAATCAAGAAAGAGGAGAAGAATAAAATTTTAAACTTACTGGAGATTTCCATGTTGTTATTGGTGTTAATACTTTTGTCAGTCAAGGTCTCTGATCTTGTTTGCGATCTGGTTACTCTTCTGGTGGATAATGGGGTTTCCATTTGGATTGTGGGATCAAAATTCACAGGAAAATTCAACTGGGTTTCGCTTTTGCCGTAGGATTGAGAAATTCTGATGGCCGGTTCTGAGAGAGAGAGAGAGAGAGAGAGAGAGGAATAGAATTTGTGCAATGAGGGAAGGTTTTATATAGAATTTGGGAGAATAGAATAGGGTTGGGAGAGAGAAAATTGACCGTTGGAGCGCTTGATTAGGCAGCGACTGGGTCGACAAATAGCCGTTGGGAACTTGTTATTTTAAATGGATTTATTCTGGGCAATACAGGTTTGCTTGATGGACTGCGTCTCAGTCATGCCTTACGTTGGGTTGGAGCCCAGTCCAAGAAGATATGGATTGTCCCTATCAAATTTGTATTCGTAAACATTTTTAGCCCTGTTTGGTTTAGCCCCAAAAAAAAATAATAATAATAATAACAAATAATTAAATAATTAAAAAAAATTTAGTAGACTTTTTTTATGAAAGTTGATTTACTTGCATGGTTGAAAATTTACTAAAAGATATGAATCACATAAAATATGAGATACACTTTCAAATTTAAGGAACTTGAAAAAATCTGTCAAGAATTGTGATCTTTGATAAAATTTTGTGACCTATATTTAATCAAATGGGTCATAGTCACAAATAAACACACAATTTACGATCATGATCACATATTAGTTTCAAATCACATAAGATTATTTTCACAAAGACAAGATTTGTGGGTCACAATTACATATTTTAATCTCAAATCACAAATTTTAATAGGTTACAAATTATTTATTGGTCATAAGTTACCCAATTAATTAGTCGAATAATGCTATCTATATATAATGGAGTTGTGAAGAGTTAAAAAGAGAGTGAGGAAGTTGTCTTTTTATTTAGTTGAAAATATTTCGATTCAATTATCTCAACACGTTGTGTATAAATCATTATAAAAATTGTTATGTACATGTAACACAATATGAACTAGTCACAATTATTTTTCATCTCATCTCACCTCACCCTACCCTACCCTATCCACCCTTCACCACCTTCGGCACCATCGAAATCACCACCACCGCCATAAATTCACAACCTACCACCACCACCAATTGCACCGCAAATTCCCAACTACCATTTGTTCATCGACGAAGAAGATAACATGGAGTCATGAAAGGAGCCCATCATCGTGACGTTTCCAAATCTAACAAAAAATCAAATTGCAAAACTTCGAAACAAAGCCAGCGAGGATCTGAATCTAGAAGTTAAAAAACATTCATGTGTACAGCAAATTTGAAATCGTCACCGCTCACATCTGACTGTACACCAGCAAGGCACGACTTTTGCTCATAGAGTGCAGAAGTATTATCTAAAGAAGGTTATGTCGAACATCTTACAAAATTTGTTCCGACAGACATTACACTTCTAAACGGACACATCAAATCTCTACAAAACAGTCCGAACCAGTTAATAGATTTTGTAAGAAACATACGATTTAATTATTAGGTCACAGTTATATTTAAGGTACTTGTCTTGGACCTTTGGTGGTGCAGTGGGTTACACGTAACCCTTTGAGATTTGCGACTGACTTCATAGTCTTCTATTATAGATTAAAATTTCAGATTAGTTCGAATTTAGTATACAATCTCGTATGAGTTGAATGCCAACTGAAGCGTTTGATCCATAATACAAAGTACAATTTAGTACGAGTCAAGTTTCAACCTAATAAATGAGCGGTGTATAAGTTGATAATACTCGTAAATCTCTCAAACTGTGTGAATAAAAGACCAATAACTTCTTGATAGCAAGCCAACCAAAAAATTCAAACAAGAACACAACCCACTACTACGTTCAATGGAATGAAAGATCAACAGATTACAATGTCGCTTTGAATGTTACTATGTTAGAAGGAAGTTCTTCCTTTTCCATCTAATAATATCCAATGAGTTTGAAGATGACAATCAATACAATTCCTCACAAAAATGGGAATTACTTTGCAGTGCAAACTTACATCAGGATTCGGATCACAGCTAAACCAACAGCAGAGACAGAGGCAAGGGTACCAATGCAGTATTTTATCACGTCGTATTTCGCAGCTTCCAACTGAGCCCGCAATGCATGAATTTCCTGAGATAAATAAGTTTGGAACCGATAAGGTTAAAACATACACTGATTAGCACGAATTACATTTTTTCAGCAGCTCACTCGATCAAGTTTGTTAGTCAGGTTAGTAGTTTCTTGATTTTGATTGGCCAACTCGTCCCGAATTCTCCTGCATTGGCAAAAAAACATATAAACAACCTATAAGTATCCAAATGGCACTAAAAGTGTACATAATATATGATCTTCTCCATTTTGTCTATAGTTGAGGTTTTTGGAACAACTTACCCCCTTTCAAGATTAAGATCCAAACGCTGCCCAGCTGTGACTTTGTCCATTTCATATCTGTAAGAAAATGATTATAGTCTGATGTTCAAAACAAACAAATATGAATGCAAAAAGGGTATCATATGCAGTTCACTACATATGCTCAGACCTCAACTCGCTGCGCATCTTTTCTATATCACTCTTGAGTTTTTCAGTCTCATGTTGTAACACAGAAAAATGATGATCCTGCATTAGAAACCAAACATATAACAAATGAATCCATGATAAGTGTTCCACTGGAGTTCGAGTGCTCAAAAGAAATGAACTTAGCAAGTGACCTGCAAAATACATTGATGCTCTCTATTCTTTTTACTAGTATCAAATTGATTTCGGGTTAACCAATTAGATCTCCTAACACCAGGGCTTAAATATTTAGATAACTAAATTTCTTGCATCAGCTCACATGTTCATATAATGCCCATTGGAAGCAATAACAAGTAATGGGCATCGATCCATTATTTAGGGTGTACGAGGTAGAAAAGTTCTCGAAGGTGAGTGTTAGTATATGTCAAGTACCTAACCCAACAAAAAAATATCACTATCACATAGAAGAACGACAAACAACAAACTTAAAATTTATTTCCAATAAACTTTTGGTCAACTGAATATTATTAGGCTCATTACTAAAGTGCTTGTTCGACACCCATTAACTTATTTAATGATTTGCTACAGGATTATTTTCAACCACATATTTACACAATAAAATATTCTGCACGTATACCAAAAACTTTTCATACTTTTTAACCATACATTTTCCAAAAAATACTATTCAAAACTCATTTTTTTCCCAATAAATGAGAATCAAACATGCTATAAATAATGTTTATCATCTTTAATGTGAAATCATCTTTGTTTTACTCTTTCCATACAAAAATTACACTTTCTCCATCACAAATAGAACTTCTCCATTTTCTTTCAAAAAAATTCTTCTTTGTCGTTCTTTCCTGAAGTGCTGTTATATTAAATCACAATGTTGCACCTATTGCCCATCTAATGTCACAAATATGAATTTATGTCTCAATCAAACATTAAGAGGGGAAATTGGAAAGTGTGTACAAACCAAACAACCTCCAAATTTTCTAAATAATCCTGCAAAGTGAAACCACCAAAAATAATTTTGGATGGAAGGAGATCTTCAAAAATTATTTAGGAAAGTCATACTACCTAATGAGTTGGCCACAAATTGTTAAATGCCGCACGCCCTCATGTAGCATTTCAGTATCAAAGATTGATGTACTAGGTACATTCGAAGAGAGGAAGAGAAAGTACACGAAAGTTAATTATTTTGCCTTATCTTGGTTTTTTTAGGTGATGAACTGTTGGCACAATTTCCCAGAGGAAATACTCCCAGAGGAAATACTTCCTGCATTGCAGCACTTTCCAGCAAATACTAACCACCCATTTTATCAAATTAAGATGTTCAATATTTACAACTAACGGAGCCTTAATCCTGGTAAATTTGGGGTCAAGTAAATGAATCCTTTTTCACCATACAGCTCTGTTCATTGCAGGACCTAGAAGTAACTAGATGCTTGACAACTACAACATGCCATGTTAATTTTGGTCTACTCTCTCTTCTAACTTGCTCTACTAAAATCACATGTTCTTACAAACAGGAGCCTATTTAGGTTGATGCAAAACATAATCCCTACCACCTAAGCTGCCCTATCCCTAATTCATCCTCAATTGATGACACGTCCACTTGATGGCATATCTTCTGATTTTCTAACATTTTAATATGACCAAACACCCATCATAGAATTTGCATTTCCGCTAGGTTTATCTTATGGGAATCTTGTACTTTGAAAACCCGACAGTCCGAATCATAAAGCATGCCGGTGTAATCACTATTTTGTGGCGCTTGCCTTTTAACCTCAGTGGCACCTTCCTATCGAATAAATTCTTGGAACACTTGGCAATTTCATTCAACCCACTTTAATTACTAAAGTTCAAGTTTTTCCTTCAACTCTTCATTCCAACAAACATGCACAAATTATTTTCTTTATCATTTACTTCTCTTCGTGACACCCATCCCACATAATCTTCTAACAACCAAACAAAGAGGTTAGATCGTGCAAGGAGACAAGCTCAATGGTAAAGTGGAAAAATTTTCATTGCAGAATAACTATTGTAGGCATGATAGTGTCGCAATGATAAATTCAAAGACCAAAGTCTCCCTCCCTTTACCAGAAAAACCTACATATATTCTCTCTTTATCAGACATAAATCAAACAGCAATACTTCTCCAATAAGGTGTTGAAGGTTCTTCTAACATTACAATGACAGTCTTGTAGCAACCAGCGGTTTTCCAACCCTATAATATACCACAATAATTTCACGATGCTTTTTCTTTTTCAAACTTGATGAAAAAATGCTGAAGCAGGACGGGTTGAAGAGTTTAAAGTTTTTAATACATTACCCACTTATCAAAGTATTTGCTAGTATTATTTATACTAATATATAACATGATCTCTGGATGCTTATGAATTGAAGATTTGATAAGCGTAATAGCCCAACCAACTAGTTTCAATGAGAATAACATAAAAAAGTGGAGATTTATCCTACTATTATTCCACGTTGATCATTCTGATATAGGAGAAATGAACAATTGAAGAATGAAGAGGACAAAGCTTTTCCAATATGTAGTAACAATTCTCAGGATCCAAGAAATTTTCCACCACAAACAGATTATGTAATTATTCCCTAGCCTGCAAAGATCTCATGGAATTGCCAGTCCACAGAAACAGATTCTAAAGAATTGAATGCCCATGAAAACTTCTTTGAATCAATTTAACATGCGTGATAACCTTAAGATATATAGGTATAACAGCAAGTACAGACAAAATAGAAGACCAGTAGGGATTATGTGAATTACAAGCCCTCTATATAGTTTCGTAGTTTTCCTTTCCATAAATAATCTAATATCTCATGGCTCCAAGCTAACCCTTAACTACATGCACATTCCCTCCTTGTGTATAATCGCACTATTACTAAGGGATTTCTCTAGATTAGCATGTCCTTTCGATGCATCCAAATGTCAGATGAATAAAAAACCTAAGATCCCAACCAATGTTAAGTTCTGGTCCAAGACATCAGTTATACATAGCAAGATTATAGAGGGTATATAACAATGTTAAATCAGGTGATATTTTGGATCTTGGTGAATGTCGAGTAATGTTGATAAAAAAAAATAAAAAAAAAAAAAATAAATTGATACAATATTAAAAAAAATATTTTTGGGAATCACATTTAATGATATTGCAATGTTATAAGTCTTCCCAGTTGCTTTAGCTTCAAGTTTCAAGTTAATGACAGGCCTTTGTTGCGATTGAATTGAACTATTTTGGGATCAGAATTTAAATAGTGATAGACATGCAACACCTTCTATGCAGGCAATATATCTAGAGATTTTGCAAACACCGCAGCATTATGTTATGACAAAATGAAAGTCAATACCTCATGCAATATATGGAATTTCTTGAAATCTAGTGTAAGCTAGCATTTTCCATTCATCTGACTGATAATTATCATATAATAGGATCTAATTTATGTTACCACGCAGAGAAATCCTGCACACATGCATTGTAGGTAAGGTTACTCGTAGAACAATTGTGATATTTCTACCCGTTAAGAGACTTCATTCTCTTCAACTTACTTTGATCGATTAGAAATTATAGTTATAGAGGCCTTTTAGTCAAAAAAATCCTCTTGCTTCGTCAAAATCTCTCCTTTCACATAGGCAATCCATCAACACCACGAAAATGTTTACCAAAGAAAAGAAGCCGTGCTGGATATATTTTGTCATCAAATCAACTCGTTCAAACAATTGGAATATGAAATCTGAACCATGCCATAAATAGATGCACAAAGACTGAAATATCACCCAAATAAAACAAGTGAATTATGTGGGATACCTGAGAGCTTTTAACTTCAGATTTGAATTTGGATAAATTGGCTTCCTGAGTCATCTCGTTCTGAAAGAAAACGAAACAAAAAGAATAGCCATTAACAAAATAGTTAAAATGCACATTCTATGTTCATTAATAAATATCGAAATATATAACCCAAAAAAATAAAATAAATAAAAAATAATAATAATAATAATTATAGGGAGAAGGAGATTACCTTTTGCATTTCACCTTTAGAAACAAAGGAATAAGACACATTTTCGAGGCTGTCATTGAGCACTTCAGTCATAGCAGATGTAATAGCCTCCGCTTGCTTTGATGGCACTCCTTGGGCCTCCAATCTCCTCACCTATGTAACAAATATCGAAATACAGTTCATATAAGTCTTTTGCAATTCAAATCCTGAATCAATCAGATTCCTAATTTAATCTGTTAACAATTAAATGCAAGAAATTACTTACAAGGGCTAATGTGTCGACCAGAAAGAGGCGATTGCCATTAGATTTGGCTAGCTCCGAAATGGGTCTGGATTCAAACCTGTTCGCACCAAACAAGTGGGTTCTGCAGGACCCAGTTCCTAATTGTGCCAAGCGCCAAGTTGCCACACATGCGGCCATTCGAATATTGTGATCTTTCACAAAACTCCACGAATCGGATTGAGATATTAAAAGATTTTGGCAGAATTTATGTAATTTTTGACTTGATTATGAAACGGGATTGCCTTAAATCTTGCAATAACGAATAGATCGATTTTCTGTAATATTATCGTCCCATTATCAACAATTTCTGTAATATATATATGCTGACGAAGAAAAAGGGGCGTGGATAATTGGGCATGGCGATTTTGCTAACTCCTAGGGGAACGTGAGGATTGTGTTGCCGTGTATTAAAGAAACCGAAATTTCATAGACGTACACCAGTTTATTTCCTAAAAATGAAAAATGGTTATTTAGAAAGTGATTAGTAGGTGAAAATTCAAAGACTCGGTGACTAGCTTTAATGATTAATAATGTTTTTATTGCTTTATTTCATGGTCAATGTGATAAATTAATTTTAGAAACTACACAAACAAACTTGTATTTGATCTGGAAATCAATTTATTAGAATTATTCTGCTTCAATTTATTTATTTAATTCTTACTAATGTCAAGTTTTTATTTCAAGTTTTAAGTCACAGAGCAGTGTTCATCATTTCACCTATATGAAGACTATCAAAATACCATGTAAATTCACAAGAAGAATGATAAACAAACAGGAAGAAAAACAAGGGAAAAAATAGACTGAAGTGTGAGCAGCTTGTTGGCTGTTTTTCTTTTAATTTTTCAAACTCTCCAATCATGCATCGACACGTGTGTAGCCTTTTTTTTACCCTGTTTTTCACCGTCTCCGTAGCATTGCTCAATTCACAATCACCCCAAAATGGACAGCACCGAGTAAATTAACTGGCCAGAATTTTGAATTATGTTCTATATAGATGAAAACTATACTGGAGAGACTCTCTCAAAAATTAATTGGACAGTACAGAACAATTATATGCTCGTGGAACTACCCCATATTGGGTATAGGTAGTCTCCCTTTGCATCTTCCACTAGTAGAATTTAGAGTTACTGCCCTTTGGGAAGAGACCTCAAATGTCCTCCTCCAACACCACCATACTGCTGGTAGACTCACATTCAGAGCATAGCTATTCATGTTTGTTTTGCAATCCTCTGCAAATACTCCCAAAACCAGATTCATATTACCCTGAACGGTCACCAGATTAATGTTACGCTGCACAGTTGCCCAACCAGAATTTACGGTTGCTGCTCCTGTACTTGAGCCATAGTTGTGTCCACTATGTCTTTTACCTTGTTGCTTGGTGCAGGAGGACTTAACTCTTATCCAGCTTCCCCAGTTAAACTAGAGTATCTGTGGACTCTGTTTCCCATGATGAATGTCCACTCGAGCTCCGACCAGGAGTATGAACCTCAGATGTCACGAGGCCCCCAACAGGTTCGCATGCCACAGTAGGCTGACAGGTTAATTGTCTATCCCTCGTGGAACTTAAAGAATTGCTTTCTCCAGGATCTGGTGTTTGGCAAAAGTCACCAATTGATCCAAAACAGTAATCTTTACTATCTTCAGTCACTTCCTTACCAAAATCTTGCATTAGTTCCTTGCAAAACTTCGTTCCTGAAGTAGGTGAGGCCAAACCACTTTGAGACTCCATTGCATCTACCTCAGCCAACAAATCTGATACTGATTCCACGCTCAAAGCATCCAATTCAATTGGTTCATCAACAATTCCTTGCCAATTACGAAAATCTGATGTAAGGTGGGATTGAGAAGAATGAGTATGTTGGTTGCTATTTGAAAACCAAATAGCAGCATGAACACTCATAGCTTCAAGTGGCTTCAGTGAAGATGCAGCGACGAGATCATTATCCCATTCCTCTATGGAAGGTTTTGCATGTGTAGGGGAATATCCACTCCATTTATTAGCTATCTCAGGAAGGTGTGCCCCATTCATCACTAACAAAGATCGCTTGGGGTCAGTGGCCTGATATTCATCACTTGGCCTTCGTGTAGGACATGGCAGATCCAAGATATCTGAATTCTGCACAGGAATATCTGAAGACGCAGACTGCTGGTTTTCAGCATTCCAAACTTCACAATCCTGGCTGCTGGCCTTTGGTGTAGGACTAGGCAGATCTGATAGACGTATGTCACCATCCACTTTAGGCGAATCAAGCCTAGGCAGAGGAGTCAGATCAGATCTAGAACCCTTGCCATTAGCAGCAGCTAAAGATCTCAAAATTTCCTCAGAAGATTGACTTGCTTGGCTTTGATTATTAGATTGATCTTCATGATCGCATCCACTAATCATCTCATATTGTGTTCGTGCAATTGAATACTTATCTCCATATCCCTCAGGCAATCTATTATCAGGGACAGCTCCAAGTTCTAGTGCCTTTGAAGATGCATAAAATGGAAACTTAGACATACCATGGAACTGTCTGTTCAAAGCATCAGTATGACCAATGCAAGGCTTCCCAAACAGATTTTTGAGCCTTAAATCACAATTAATTTGACTCTTCTGACAAGCATCCTGGAGGTTGTTCCTTTTTATGTAGTCCAGCAAAAGAGACTGGACATCGAACTGTGAGAGAACTGATGTATCACCATTCCTCATGTGTGCTACAAACTCTAAAAGGTCTTTAGATGCCCATTCAGTGCCTTCATCAACACTTGGTTTGTCCATTCCTTCATCAGTGCTTGATTTATTATTCCCTTTGTTATGGCTAGGTTCCGCCTCTTTTGAAATGCCCAGACTTTCTGTGCTTAATGAATCCTCCTTCTGTAAGGTTAGTTGTCCCTTGGGATTACTTGACTCCAAATGTTCAGAAGACCTGTATGAAACAGAAACTTTTCCATCACGAGTATTATGATGCACATCAGTTACCAGATGCGTACAAGCCACTGTACCCACTTCTTTGCAGGGATTTTTAGCTTGAGTGAGCTCACTCAGCGTTAATGATAGCTTCTCTTTCAAGTAAATCCAATACGCCTTGAAGAGATACTCCCAGCTACTGCTGTCGTCAAAATCTACTTGAACCTACAGAAATTAAGCGAAGTAGAAATTCAGCATTAGGTTGCTATCGCACTACATGTCCAGAGCAAGCAAGGTATACTTCAAGCCAGAGTGAAATTTCTGTAATGTTTAACAACAACTCACTAATTCAATCAGGTTCACACGGGATAAATTATTCAAAATTTTCTACAACATTACTAGGCATTGAGGTTCCAGCACAGTGAAGAACATTCTTACGCCTCACAATTAAATCATCAGAGAATGACATCAACGCTTCTCTTTCATATGGTCTGCAATGTCCATCCAAACGTTGGAGTTCTCTATAGTCATGCATTTTCAATAACAGATTGCAAGTTTTCGTCCAAGATCCCCACCTTTAAAGACAACTTTGCTTCACCAAATATGTGAAAAATTCAGAACAAACAACAATATAAAAAGAAGCCTGACAGGCTTAGCACTTGTTTAGCATGTGTTTATATTATAAACACCTTGGTCAAACCTACTTTTTATCCGCACATTTCATGGAACCCACAATTATTCCCCACACATCTAAACTCATTTCTATCTATTATAATTTAAAACGATTAAAATCAATTTAAACTACTCCATGCATCCTAAAACTGAAACATCAATCTCAAATAGAAACTGATGCTTTTGAAATGCAAATTTGCTTCAAAGTAATTATCACGCACTTGCAGAAATTTAATCATGCTTCCAGGTTTTCAAGAGAAACGACAATGTTCCTGGCCAGTATAATCCTCGGGTACAAAAATAGCATGCACCTTCAGAAACATTTAGGAAACACAAACCAAATCCAGCTTCTTCACTTGTAATATTAGAGGGACGAGAAAAGTTGGTGTAACAAACAAAAAAAAAAAATCTGATAAAAAGGTCTTTAATCAAGTTAGAGCCCATTGAAAAGATGTTACAAAACAGATACAGAAAGCTTTTTGTGTTAAAAAATCAAATATCAATTTTATGTTACAAGTGTCTTTTAGAAAGTATTTGATCAAGAGAAGATGACTGTTTGACCAAGGCTTTGCGTAATAAAAATTTTTGGCCTCATCATCAAAAGCAGTTCCCAATTGCTCTAACAAGGTAGAGCAACAGAGTAAGAAACAAAAATGAAAAGTTAATTGAAAAAAATCACTTCTATATGGACATGGGATACGTAAGGAAACAACTGTCTGTACCGATTCTGAGTTCATTTTGTCTTTATTTTCAATCAGCATAATAGTCTTCATGCATATTGTGCAGAAGCCTTTGTTTCCTCTAATACACACGTAATCTGCATCTTTAGTGCATCCCATACACAAAGAATAGGTACAAGTATAGCACATGTAATGGGAAGCCTTCTGACATACACTACATATGTGCCAACCTGAAAGCAATAGCATAAGGGCATTAATAGATTGCCAGACATCATCACAGCGCAAATTGCACATTCCTTACTTAATTAGAGCTTCAGGCGTTCAGCACTCAGTAAGTTTTCAGAGAACATCACATGAAAAATTAAGGAACTATGGAATGGGAAAGAGGAATTAACAAAGAATTCTAAGGCTAGAATATGAAACTAACACGGATTAAGTTATGGACAGCAAAATACATGATAAGCAACCTATTCAAGGCTTTAACATTCTTGCATCTTGTCACAATTAAATTACACACACATCTACAACACCTTTTGTTACTTCTGTTACTGAACACAGTTCAACAAATTATCACGAAATATGCTGACACCTTAAAGCCTCAAACTTTCACCATAAAATGCAATGGCAACTAATATTAAGAGACTGCATAAAATCTTATATTGCAAAAGAGCAACATACCGCAATTCCATTTAGCTTTTGATCTAAAAAATGACTCATCTCGCTTAATACAGGCAGGATGATATGCTTTTGGACAGCCCCTGTCCATAAATAACAGAAATTAGCAAACTAGGAAAGAAACTTTTCAAATTTTTAATTTCTGCAAAACTTTCTTTTTCTCTCTCTCTCTCTTTTTTTTTTTTTTTTTTTTTCCCCTTAGGCAGCGAAGCAGAACAACTTTCACAAAAATAAAAAACAGGATCAAAGAGTTAACTACCTTTCTGGGCACTCAACTTATGGACATGCCCTGCGGAATGTAAAATGTCGAGAAACGAAATTCTTACATGCAGAAAATCAGACGGTAACAATTAGCCAGCACGTATAAGTTGTTATCATTTTAATTAGCAGCTTTTTCAGTAAAATCTCTTGAAAACATGAATTCGTTGCAATTGGAGGAAAATAAGAAATGAGGATTCTTTAACTTAGGTCTGCAATGGAAGACGTAGAATTTCATCCCATGTGTCATAAGCTTGAAATGAGTTAGAATTCAAGGAGACGAAACTGTAGATTTTATCTATGGGTGGTGATTTTATTTGTGGTCATGATGATCTTAAAGGATTGGAAATGATATCAAGATTTTATCTGATATTGGTTGTTGGCATTTGAGCATTCTGTGGCAAGCGTGCCATATGTTCGTATAAATGCCAACACGAACGCCTATTATGAATGTTTTATTTGATTCTCCATGTGCACGTTGGATCCTTATGATAGTGGAATGCATAGTTTTGTAAGGATTCTACTCACTTGCGATCACAGAGCACGAGGCAACCCCCATCAAAGCAAATGAAGCAAACATCTTCCTCTTCCTCCTCTTTCTTCCGCCCCTTGGTCAGCCGTCCCCTTTTCCGTTTCTGTCCAAGACTGATCACCTGGGGCACGGATCCCTCGGTGACAGCCACTGAAACTCCGACCAATTTCTCACTGTCCTGATAAAAGTCTTGATTCTGAGCTGGTACATTCGGCCTGTACAGACCAGAATGTTCCCCCTCCATATAAAATCAAAGCTTATTGAAACCCTAAAATTATGATCTGAACAATCTGAACGGAGGTGGAAGGTATCAATCATTAGCAGTGCAACGACTATGAAATTCCGTGTGGGTGTATAATATATTTAAAGCTAAGCCAAACGCTATTCACGTGTGCTATTGTAGTAGGAAGAATGAATTGAAATGTAAACGGAAGAAGGATCTGAAACACGTTGGGATCCTTGGGGGGAATTAAAGAAAAGACAGCAATGGAGTTTTTGTCTGGTTGTGATCACTCCATACCACCAAATCAAGAATCGCCAAATAAAGTCTTGATGGCTCCACACCTCATCTCATCGCGGTTGTTGACTATAACGCCTTCGATTGCGAATGTAAAATTTATATGAAAATAAAATAATTTATAAGTAATTGAATTGGCTAGAAATTATTAACATGAAAAATATCAATTAAATATTTTTCATGGAAAAAAAATTAAAAAGCACAAAAGCAAGAATTTAAATGAAAAAATGAAATTTTTCGTTGAAAATATTGACAACCAAATGCACTATTATATCATTCATTGTTACACCGTCATTTTTTGGCATATTGCTTGTAATATTTATTGTTACATCTCGTACGCTTACACTTTGATCAATTGATTTAGTAAGTGTACAAATCGTGACAAGTACTCAAGTAGAATTTTTAGCTTGAATATCGTTCCTACATAGATTAAGTATTTACTAAGTTACTATCAATTTTTGTATTCGTCTAGCTTCAATCTAAATTAGTGTACTCTATTAACAGTTGAAGAGTTCTTAATCTAACAAAATTATCCCAAACTAATCTAACTTAACCTATCTAATTCAACACGACGAAGATTTGGGTTTCGATAGTTTTTTTTTTTTTTTTTTTTTGGACAGATCTTTGCAATCCAATTCATTCATTCCCAAAAATAATTGGTGGATAACTTTTGGGATTTTGATAGAAATTTCAATTTCAATTAGGCTATTTAATATACATTCAATTCAACATCATCCAGCCCCATTTTTTATGTACTAACATTAGTATTAATCAAATTTAGTTAGTAATCTATCTCTTTGAACAAAATTAACCCTATTAATATGCCTGAATTTACCATATTTATAAATTTACTACATCTCTATATAAATTCTTACACATTTAAAAACATTAATTTATAGAATTATTAAACTTAAGGCTCTCATAAGAAAATTATCTTCGGTTCAAGTTTTGAGGGAGACAACCGAAAGCTGTGAGATGTAAGAGGACATATGTTTTACCAAAACAAATAATACGTATGATATAATGCGTTGGGCACAAAAACTCTAATCGTTACCCAAACTGTCCTTGTTCTACTTTTCTTTCTTTACTCAAATGTAATCTTGTTTTGTATTTTGGGAATTTTAGAATTTAGCATGATCCTTTTTTCACCTCACGGTCTGTGTCTTGCCACAACATTCCGCTGTAGAAACTGTCATTCTGGAGTGGCTTATCAAGGCCAAATTTAGCATTAATCTTTCTTTTGATTTTTCCCACATTATATACGTTTCTGTATTCTCTCATACTAAATGTGACTGATGTTGATCTAAGTTACGAAAACGTTTTAGTTTTGTATACGTCCTAAGTTTTCTTATATCTTGAACCTAGTTGTTGTAGTCCAAATTGCATTGAGCATTGATTCGAAAAAGATGGATATTCAATGGGTCAGAGGGTTAAAATGCTGGTAAAGAAATTATTGAAAATAAGATTTCAAGATGGACCAATCGATGGTTGACTCGAACATTGATTTGAAATAAATGAAGGTTCAAATTTTCAAATCAATGTTCAAATCAAAGGATTGAAATGATTGTAAGTATATATATATATATATATATACACTAGCTGATGGCTTGTTCTTAACGTAGACCAATTGTTTCTTGGCTTGTTTTAATTAATTTTTTGTTTTTAGTTTTTTTTAGTCAAATATATCGGTCCGATCAAACATGGGTTTAGGGACGGAGGCCTACTGGTATCCCAAAAATATTTGGTAAAAAACCATATATACCTTAAAAAAATAATAATAATAATAAAATAAAATGAAAATCATTTTAGATCAGAGCACTAATTATCCTACACCCTATCAAAGAATGGATCCAGTTTTACTGTTCATTATTGGACCATTGTGTTTAAATTTGACCCATTGAAAACTGATTTAACACTGTACATTAAAATATGGGAAGATTTCATAGGAAATTAATTATGGCACATTTCAGAAACAAGAAAATAAGTTTCAAATTTCAAAAATCAAAATTTTATTAAAAATTATTTATAATTTAATTAATTATTTATTTATTTTAGTAATTAAATATATTTAAGTCACAGATTTATATAATTTGGTCACAAACTAACGATTTAATTGGTCACTTATTTTTTTGTAACATGATTTAATCAATTAATTATATATTTTATTAATTTGGTCACAGTTATCTATTTAATTAGTCATAGATTAATTTTTAGTCACAATTTATCAAATTATTGGTCACAACTTATTTTTTGATCACAAATCAAAATTTTGTAAGTCACAGATTTTTTTCGATTACAAATCAAAAATTTTGTCGGTCACAGATTATTCATCGGTCACTGATCAAATATTTTATTGGTCACAACTCAGTTATTCATTGCAAATTATTATATTAGTTGGTCACGATTAATTTTTTTGTCACAACTTAATCAATTGTAAATCACAGACACAATTTTTAGGCCATGGATTAACCAATTTAATGGTCACAAACTCATAGTCAATCACATCATCTGTGACCGCCACCGACACTTGTGACCACTACATCACCACTGTCATCAGCCGCAACCAAATCATCTGTGACTACCACCGACAGTTGTGGCCACTACAGCCAGAACCACCATTGCTACACCAACAGCGTCATGGTAGCACCATCGCCACTGTCATAACCTCGGCGTCACAGAACCACCACAACACGCCACTGTCATACCCACGGCATCACAGAACCACCCGCCACCCAAACACCACAACCATAACGCACACCTCCACCTCCGCCTCCGCCTCCACATTCACCGCACCACTAAGCTCTACACCCAGAGAGCTATTGCACCGATGGGCGAAGCGTACGTCGCCACCGACTGAGAGCACTGCGACACTATCCAACACCGGTGCTCGAACCACAACCCACCAGATCCAATGACAACCACCACATCATCCAGATCGCCGTTGCTAGAACTACCACCACAACCACACATCACCACCATCTCAACTGATCCAATCGACTGAGACCACCATATTACCATCACATCATAGCCTGAGCCACTACCATGCCTCACCATCGCACCACCACAGCACACACCAACGCACCCACATCACGCAGCCTATACTATCGCGACCACAACCAACAACAAACACTACCAGAGCCAACGCGAAAGAGCTACCACCACATCCAGATCTTAGCACCGCCTTACATTGCTAGGCAAGGGGCGCGACACTGCATTTTGCGTGCAGCGTTGGGCTAATCACCACATGCGACGCTACAAACTGCCGGCAGAGCGGTGGTGTGAAAGAAGATTGAGGGATAGAGAGAGAGAGATGAGAGTGGAGGAATGAAGAGAGAGAAAAGAATGGAGAATTAATTAGAGTTTGGAATAAAATTTGTATTATAATATTTAATATTTAAAAATTAAATATCTGATTTTTGAATAATTAAACCTTCACTCTGATTTTAGAACTATTAATTTATAAGTATGATTTCCTGTAATTTCCACTTAAAATATTATCCTAAAAGAACCGTGTTATAATTGTTCTCTTCATCTTCAACCGGTAAAAGAAGTCAGTGCTTTATTTTCCTCGACAAAAACTTGCTCTCCTTCATCCTCTCGTGAAAATCAGAAATCCTAAGCAAATTAGTTCCCTTGCCTTTCATTCCCTCACCTCGTGAAATCGTGAAATTTTCCCAAAGTCATGCTTTCTCTCTCTTTCTTACCGTACACTCTGGATAGAAGCGAAACAAATCCCTCAAAAAGTTCGCGAAAATCAGAAATACTTAGCAAATTAGTCCACTTTTCTTTCATTTCCTCACCGTAGTGAAATTGTTCCTTTGATTTTCTCATCACCGTGAAATCGTAAAATTTTCCCAAAGCAGCTGCAAGACCCTTCGCAAATGACCCACATGATCCTCCAAACTTCGACTGAGTACCAAAATATCATCAAAAAAACAAATTGCCTCAACTGTTCCTTAAATGCTTCATTCATAAGTGACTGGAATGTGGCAGATGCGTTTGTCAATCCTAATGGCATCATCAAGAATTCATAATGTCCTTCATGTATCCTGAACGCGGTCTCTGGGATGTCCCTCGGTTTGACCCGAGTTTGATGATAGCCAGCCTTTAGATCGAGTTTAGAGAAGATTGTTGCCCCATGTAACTACTCATCCAATAATTCGTCGATCATTGGAATGGGAAACTTTTTCGGTATCGTCACCTTGTTTATGGCTCTATAATCTACACAAAAGCCCCCTCCATCTCTTTTCTTCACTAGTAAAATTGAACTCGAGAAAGGATTGGTACTTGGTCTGATAATCCCAACGGCTAGCATATCTTTGACTAGTTTCTCGATCTCATTTTTCTGAACATGTGGGTAACGGTATGGTCTCACACTTATAGGAGCTAATCCTGATTACAAGTAGATGGCATGATCCTTATCTCGTTGCGGTGAGCCCTCTAGGCTCTTCAAAACCCTCCCCAAATTCTCTTAACAATTCCATAATTTTCGTTGGTGGCTCACTCTGTACTTTCCAAGCTCGACGCCTATACTGCCTAATTCAAGAAGTACACCTTCACCATCTTCCTTGAAAGCTTTCATCATGGCCTTCAAGGTGACTAACGTCTTACTCAAGCTTGGAGGTAGTCCCCCGACTTGGAATTTTATCGTTAGAGTTTTCCAGTCAACTTGGTCGATCCCAAGGATGATAGCCACTTCATCCCTAGAATCACATCGGAGCTTCCCAAATCTAGTGGAAGAAAATCTTCCACTATCTCAATGTTTTAGCGGGATAATTGCACTCCCTTGCACACCCCCATTCCTTGCACTGCCATTCTCACATGATCAACTTATATCTAGTTGTATCAGTTCTTGGTAATCCCAGCTTCTGTACTAACTCGACAAAAATAAAATTGTGACTAGCCCTGCAATCAATTAGCACAACTACCTCTTGATAAAAAATTATCCCTTTCACTTTCATTGTTTGAGGCCGGGTGAGCCCTACAATCGAGTTCAGTGATAACTCAACCACCTTACCGATAATGGCTTGCCCACATTCA